GACTGGAATAACATTAATGTCCTGGTTCCAGAGAGAAAAGTCTGCTTCTCCAGACTGCAACAGAAAGGCACTATTCTACACCAGTTTCTCCTGTATATGAGACACAAATATTGTTAATGTCTTTTTGCTCCAATTTTGCACCCACACCCAGCTTCACACTCGGAATCTGGACACAGCTGACCATAGTATCCAACCATTGTATTGCTCCCCCAAACTGCATGTCCACCATTTGGGCACTGTGAATTGTAACTCAGTTGGATTGATATTAGATACTAATTAGATACTCTTGGAGTTGCAGGCTGTTCCCTGGTTTCTGCCACACTTGTTCAGTGTCTGCAAAGAGCTTATCAGTGGGTAGTTTCATGTATGCTTATACACTGCTCTGAAAAACACAGTATTTAGCTGAATGTCTGACCGCTTTAATGGGAGAACATCAGAGTCTAGGCAGGCATCAGATCCCGATCAGCACTGAGAAGCTCTTCCCAAACTAATAGTACAGTGGAAGTAGAAAACTCATCTCTTAGCAGAGCTCTGAACTCAAAGCACTATGTCTTACATGCAGGAAAAGAAGAAAGGGTAATAACATTTCATAAGCATTCACTTTATTATGATGTCCTCACATCATCTTTGCTTTAATGTGAAAAATTGATGTGGTGAGAGGGGCAGTATTATTTGAAAAATAAAAAAGCCAGTAGTTTTTGCATTATATCCTTTAGACTATCCTTTGGATTTACAGCTGCCTTTGGGGATACTATAGAAAAACAAGAACAACTCTCTCTGTGTGCAGAATTCCATGCACGGACTTCTTACCATGGTTAACTTTTCTTCTATTGGCACACATAGTCATCCTGTTCCTTTAATTACCAGACACTTTATCCCCAAAAAAGATCAACTGTTGACAGCTACTAATAAAAAATTTATTTGTTCTGTGGCATTGGAGGTCCAAAACACCAAGAAAAAAGAGAGATCCCAGGCAGCAATTCTAACAAGCTCTTTTTAATGAAGTGCCTTGATAGGCATGCCTACCCCTGGGCCATTCTCTCCATAATTTAAATGAACACCCTACCAGAAAATCCACTGTGAAATTCCTACAATGAGGAATCCATGCCATAAATTTTCTGGATTAACGGAATGTGGAAAGAAACTTCCTACAGAAAAATTAAATTGAGGACTGGCTGTCACTCCGAACTGGAAGCAACTAAATGTGATAAAACATTCCCAATGAAGCAGTRTCTATTAATAGTTTACAACTCTACTTTTAAAGGAAATTGACATTCATAAAGGAAACTAAAGCAGAACTGCTGCCAGGATATGCCATTTTTTGCATGTTCTGCAATTCAGCGTACTTTTCCTTAGCTTTGAACATATTTGTCATTAACCCTAACATTCAAAACTTTTCCTTGCAAGTCTTGGAAAACCCATCCTAAAATAACAACCTTTGAGAACCAAATTAAGAGTCACTCCATTTCAGGCATTTTTAAAACTAATACTGTAGCTTTTTTTCCCAAATTAGTAAGGACAATATCATTTTGAGTAAGCAACAAAACAAGAATAAACTAATTAAAACTGATTAACTTCTATTTAATGCCTACATTCTTCCTCTTGGATTGCTCTTAAACTGTCTGTCTCTTGCACGGTTTCTCTCTGCCTCTCTCCCAATAGCTCTGCACTCCTGTGACTCAGCCAGAGCAGCTGACAACAGATCATGGACCCAGAACTCCTCAGCAGCAAAATGATCATATGATCATTTTGAACTTATCATATGATGAGTTCATGCCAGCCAACAAGCAAATGCATGGTGCTGCAGCCAGAGCCTGTTTAATTAGTGCCTAAGATGTGCAACAGGCTTCAGAGCATTGCTTTCTTTTAGTGCAAGACAAAAATAATTCCTTTTGGAAAAATGGGGAACTTCTTTTACATTTTTTTTTCTTCAAAATAAAACCACCTTTTCGACCTCCTTAGTATCTCTTCTTCCACATTGTTCCTTGCCATGCACCCATGGGAAGAGAAGAGCTTCAGATTAATGACTGATTTCCCATTCCTTCTCTCTCCACCTCCCCTCCGCTTTTTTTATTCCAAACCATTACACTGACATAAAGCACTTTGCTCAGCAGTTTGATAAAACAATGTGCATCAGGTACGTAATTTCATTCTTTGCCTTACTTTGGTGTCGTCTGGCATGAAACAACCTGTGAAACTACAACCACTCAGCCAAACTTCAGACTAAAATGCCAGACATAAGAGGAATGACATTTCAGGGCTGAAAGGAGGATGCGTGCTAGAGAGGCATGCTGTGACACAGCTGGGCACTGGGGAAACTACCCATGGAGGATGACAGTGGAAAGGATGGCTGAAATGCATCAGGCACATTCACCACAATGAAAGGTGGCTCCAATGAGGCTTGGGAGGTGACATGGGGGACAGATCACTCACCACAGGCTGCTCTGCTGGCTCAGCAGGGGTGGCCTCCTTTTCCACAATGGCAGCAGCAGCAGCAGGGGTTTCCTCAACCTTAGGTTCCCCAGGTGGAGCTTCTTCAGCCTCAGTCTTTTGTTATTGATTTTTAAGTAGACAGTGGAAAATTTGTTGAGGACCGTGTGATAGTGGGAAGGAAGAGGGAGAAAGGGATCTGTGCCTGGCACAATATTGCTTCAGGCTTGGTCTTGCCAAGCTTTGTCCCCAATAAAAGACAGCATGTAAAGGGCATTTTCATCATCGATGTTCTACATGTAAAATGTACCAGTCCTACATGCCTCCCTCACAAGGAGAGAAAGCATAGTTTTCCTGAATTACAGTGAGACATAGTGGAAGTGGGAGAAAAGCATTCACTTTGCTCAAAAATGCTCCAGAAACTCATGGCAAGGCCAGAAATTGGAACTGGCACACATGTGTACCAACTCTAGCCTTCAAATAAGAGTTAAAAAATCTACCTCATCCTCCCTACTTCTGTCTGTTCTCAGACAATATAGTCCTTCCTCCAGAGAAGGTAAGAAGCAATAAGCAGAATAAGACACTCAGTTTTAATATGCACAAGGACAAACACTGAATGATTGAATTCTAGCAATGAGCTCTACCAATAATCCCTGTTTTCTTATTAAAATTGAGCTCTCAATCACCTATAAAGCACCCATTTATCAAACCACTATTGGCATTTCCACCCTTTTAAATTCTAGCCTCAGCTTGTTTTTCAACAAGAGGATCTAAGAAATATCACCAGCCCTGCAACATGTTCAGTCTTGTGGCAAAACAGCTCACAGCAGAAGTGCAATCTCCAGTGGTGATGTTACTCTGCAAATACATGCACATAACAAGGGGAGCGCTCCAAGTGTGCTTATCATATTTGATTTATAGAGATGGCTGACTCAACCAGATAGAATAACCCCAATAGATTAACTTGCCATGAACAAATTGCTCAGCATAATATGAAGCTCAAAAGCAATTGCTTTGCAGTTGGTAACAGGCTGCTGGCAAGAATTTGATGTTTCCTGTGATGAAGAGACAGCTTCTTAGGATACTAAGATCATCTTCTGATATTTTTTAGGAAAAAAAAAAACAAAACCATAGCCTCTGAATTCTTTGCTCATATATTCCTTAACCAGGCTGGTTTTTGATAAGGTACAGAGAAGTTTGTCTATGCAAGACCTTTAGGATTTGGCATAGTATTAAGGAGCGTTCACTCATGGTATACCATACTGTGCAAAAATCTCTCTGTGCAGTGTATTAATGACAGCTCTAGAGAATTCAATAAAGAAGAAATAGGACTGAAATGAGAAATACAAAGTATATTTATCGCAGGTAAGACCACTAATGAGTTTCCTGAGGTTTAATGGTGGAAGACTCTTTCAGACTTAAAAACACAAGTAACATAAAGCAGATTGCAATGATGTGCTTCAAGTCACTTGTTGAAAAGCAGGCTTCAGATAGGTTACCACACTGCAGCTACCAGTAAAAATACTCTCACAATATTCAGTAACTATCATAAACATAAACACCATGTCACCATGTCATAAACACCATAAACCATCATAAATGACATTAAATATCATCCTGATGGTATTAAGTAACTATAGCATTCAGCAATGCTGTTATTCTCATTCTTGCCCCAGGCTAAACAAAGACTGTAAGAGGAGCTAAGAAATCCAGGTGTGATAACTTCCAAAAAGATTGTCCCCTCCTTGGAAGTAGACTGTGCCTACTATTAAAATGTGGTGAGTAGATAAAATTACAGCAATTTTGGAGATTTGTAACAGCCATCATGTACTATTACATACTTGCTGTACACGGGACCATAGTCTCATTATAGTAATTTCTTAAATGCAATAAATGAACACCTTTATAAAATAAACATACCTTAAAATATTCTGGTTTTATTTTCTTTTGCTCTGTGCTATCCTTGTGAAAGATTGTTTCAGTGATTATGGATTTACAGCTGCAATTGTATCACCCAGCAGCTCTTCCAGGTGGAAGAATTGCAAGAGATGTTGTGGTAGAAAGGATGGAAAACACAAAGGAAAAATTGTACCCTTTTAGACAAGACATTTAAAAATTAACCAAAAGTCGCCACTTACCAAAGGCTCTGTCACATTCTCATTTGATTGCACTGTAAATGCAGAGATATCCTAGATACAGAAATGAAAAATGATGCAAAAGTATTTGAGACAGGGTATTTGCAGGTGTCCATCAAAGACCCGATTTTTTAAATGTTTATTCAGGTAAAGTCGCTAAGTACATTCACACAGAATAAGACGGCAAATACAACTTAACTAAAAATCATTTTTAATATTTATCTGGATCATCTGAGTACTACTAATACAAAAAAAAACTTTTTCAATTTTTTATTCAATGTTTATAAACCAAGATTTTTCACCTCACTAAAGACAGTGAAAAACTCTTAATTAAATACATCTGATTCACAAGGACTTAGTTCAAAGTCCAATGCACTTCTAAGTTGTGGAACTCTGAATCCTTTTTGCAGACTGTGCCTGTAGAGTACATCAGCTCTAAGGCTGTGCCTGTAGAGTACATCAGCTCTAAGCTACTTTCTTCTTGATCATGGGCTTTTATTTGAATAATAATTACAGTAATTACAAATACAAAAATCTACCTGCATTAAGAAAGTAGAAAAATTGAGATGTTTTCCAACATCTCACTCATTCAGAACTAATTAATTTGCAAAATATTGCTGGGCCAAATGATTTTCTTACCATAGAGGGGACAGCAAATGTTTATTTTCTCCAGACAAACATTTTGCCTTAATTATTAGCAATGRTAGCCTTGTGCTTTGCCCATTCCATCTGTATCCCTTACTAAACTAAATGTCCTGGAGCAGAATGGTTAATCCCTGGAAGACTCATTTCCATTCTTGTATAAGTTGAGCCTTTTTGGGTGCTTTTAAATTTAGGTGTGCAGAGTGTGCTGTGGTTGAGTCAGTCTCTAAGAGAATGGTGGAAAATAATGAGCACCCAGGTTATCCACCCAAAATTTGGGATCTTGATACAGCCCTGGAATTTGAAACCATAAACATGGTGTCTTTATGTGCTGTATCTCTGTGATGCATACCACAAACTCACCATCAGCACAGCAGCACATAAATAATTTAGGTTTAACTTTGAGAGTAAAATATATATTTTAAGTGAAAATAAAGATGAAGGAAAAAAAACCCTAAACTCCCTACATATTTACACACAGAGTCACTGAAAATAGGTGAAACTGAAAACCTGATTCACAGGATTTTGGGACTGTGAGAAAAATAATCCACAAAAGAGCACAATGAAAAAGCTAGACCAGCCATTTTAGGAAGAAACAGCTGTCCCATTATGGTAGCCAGATTTTTGGCTATTAGACTCAGCCAAAGAGTACATCAGTACTAGAACAGTACTTCTAGTTACATCAAAGAAGGATTTCTGATCACAGACAGGGTCTGGATTTGAGATAGCATGATGTGACTATGCAGTTGTCTGTAGAACAGATGTCCTGCATTTGTATAGCCAGTTCTAATACTTTCTTAATAGCACAGAAAAAAAAAAATCTCAAAACCTGTTTATTTCTTACCTGTGTAAATCCATTAAATGCTGTGGTGGATGCCTAAGTAGAAGTGAAGATGCGAACAAATTATCATTTGTTTACTAAATCAGAACATGAGTCTAAATATTTTTAATTTCAAAATAAAAATATAGGCCAGACATTATAAAAAAGGAAAAAAAAAGAGATAAAAGAGAGAAGAAACAATAAAATGAAGGGTAAGGCAGCAAGAAATTTGACAACCGATGCTATTTGGTAACAGGTATTACAGTTCTTATAGAAAATGACAAAACAAAAAAGCAGAATACCTTAAATAATTGTATAAAACAATAATAATAAAGACCAGGTGCATTTAAAGATCTACAGATAAAACACAAAAGCTGCCAGACACAATGTGTCTTCACAGTTCAATGCTTCATTCACCATTTTGAAATGTATTTTTGTCAGCCTGCTTGAAGGGCTGAAGGGCACCACACTATGAACAGTTGCATGGCAATTTTTCAAAAAAAGAATAGCATGGGCTTAGGAAGGGCAGTAGGAAAGACACAAATGGAATGTTTTTAAGCAACAAGGTTACGCATGGCCTAAGTAACTCTTTGTCTAAACTAGGCTACACACGGTAGGTACCTCTTCTTTATCAGCCTCAATTTCCTGGTACAACAATCCATATCTCCGGTTAGCAATTTCATCTTCAGATAAATCTGAGTTGTTGGTCTCATTGTCTTTAGGACTAGTTGAACTCTCGGTGCTAGTATTTCTGGAATTTCCCATTTGAAACAGAGCCAAGGGTTTAGCTATCTCCTTGCTCGGTCTAGGTTTGCTAACGCCTGCCTGCTCCCCAGGCAAACCTTGTCTTACTGGTGTCTCCTGAATTATGGGGCCTGTGCTCGCATCCTCTTCTCCCCAGATGTTATCACTAGTTCCTAGGTCTTCTGTAGACCATTTATTACTAATGCCTAACCAAACATTTTCCAAGTTACCTTCCTCTGAGTTTTGCTGCTGGGGGAAAAAGGGCCAATTATCCAGTCCATTGACTTGGCTATCTGACAGACTAGAAAAACCCCAGGAATCACTGGTAACTGTTGGATCCCAGTTTGCCAGCCAGGGATCTGTTTCCAAGGCTTCAGGAACACCACTGTTAATCACTTCAGTGACTGCTGCTGCTGTCCTACCTGTCACTAGGTCATCTGCACTATCTAGGCAAAGATTATTACAGCTTGTGCCAGCAGCATCGGCTGCCTTGGGCAGCACTGCCCACTGTTTTTCAGCATCAGCTTCACCTTTAGTACCRTTTGGGAGGTGGCTGATGCTATTTTCTTCAGCTCCTTTCTCTTCTGTACTGAATAATTCAGCATCACACAGATTGCGTCCAGTACCTGTAGGGTACTTTCCTGTGTGGTCAGTTATCTCTAGGTCAACATGCGCCCTCATGTTTAGGCACTCCATGGATGGACTCTCTTCAGTACCATGGTCAGTTTGGACTATGGCATCCTCAAATGTCTTCTCATGGTCCTGATCCCAGATACCAAGGACCTCAGGTTCAGCACCAGTGCCTTCTACAGTTGTACAGTTGTACACCACTATTTTGTCCCCACTTTCCAGCCCTGTGCTTAGCAATGGTATTTCTCCATCTGTCTCCTCAATGACATTGATCTGTTTGAATTCTTGTTCCCCAGAGTTTTCTAGGTTAGCACCACTAGCTCTCTCCCCATCATTATCTTCAGACTCATGTAAATTTTCTACCTCTGTGCTGACTAAAATTTCAAGATCTGATTTTGCTAAATCTTTATGAAATTCTGTCTCACTGTTTCCTTTGATTTCACAACTTCGCTCTTCCAGTTTCTCTGTACCTTCTACCTCCTTGTAGTTAGCTCCAGTGTCTACCTTTTCACTTGGCTTGACACCTGCCCACTCGTCTTCCTCATGCTCTTCCTCTGCCTTTTGCACATCACATGGGAGGGATTCATCCAACAAGCTATCAGTTCCCAGGATGGGTGTCTCAAAACTGGTTATGTTCTCTAAAGGCTGATTGGTCACCACATCTTCCCACACGACATTTTTGGCATCCAACTGGTCTTCCAGTGAAGTCCTCTGGTTTTCGTTTACAGAAGCTGACCCTGGTGCAGCATCCTCCTGCTCACCTACTGCAGGCCAAACACTAGCAGGCAGAGTACCTGTGGATTCGCTTGAGGTTTGCTCTGCCCTGGGGAAAAGCAAAGAACCACCTGCAGTAATTTCCTGGCTCATACTGGGTGTGCTAACATCTAGGCCCCAGTTGAGTGAACCTAGATCAGTTTGAGATCTGTTAGTATCTTCTGATGACCCATTGTTTGGGGTTTCCTCCATGACCAGGTTACACAGGGAAAGACTTTTTGAAGAATCAGGCTTTAAGCAGACAGAAAAGTAAAGAAAAAACACAAGATGAAAAAGATAAAGGCGGACTTGATGAGAAAACACAAAATTTATATTTTACAAGAGCAATTTTAATCTAAAGAATGAAGTGACTAAATTAAGCCATTTAAGAAAAAGCTATGTGGTTTGCAATGCCTGAAGGCAATAAATTGTAATGCAAAAGAGCAGCACTGATACACAAAACCAGAAAACTACATATTACACCACAGTGATTAAAGATGTCTCTAGAGCAGTTGTGAGGGAGGAGGTTTGCTTACCGGCTGCACCAATTCGCTGCTTGTCTGTGTAGAAGAAAGTCATRCACACAAAACACAGAAAAGAAGAACATGATGTACTTTGATACAGCACCAGTTCATTAATTAGCAGTTCTCTAACCAACTGCAGTTACCACATCAGAGTGGGGAAGGAACAGTGGGTCCTTTCCTGCCACTCCATCCAATATTAATTCCAGGCCTGTGAATTCTATGCCTCTGAATAACATGATAAAAGAAGTTCTTCCTGTATGTTGAATAATTACCACCCCAGACATTTTTATTTCAAACATTTAGTTACGAAGTACACTAGCATTTTTAAAAGATAGAGCAAAGATAAAGAGAATTACAATACAGAATATATATATAACATTAAAAAGTTATAAATAAAGCTGTGCAATAAGAAGACATTGATGAAGCTCTAAGTTGAGAGCAATACAGTCTCAACATTTCTGTGTTATTTTACCTGGTCTAGATATTTGCAGCCTTGAAATTTTGGTTAGCCTACATATGTGGTTACTTTTTCAGGCTTATTTAACCTTACTCAATATAAAGAGATAAACATTTAACATACATCACATATGGAATGTGTTCAGAAAACATTGATGCAAATCTGAACACGTAACAAGCATTCACAAATCTCTGTGCTGGCTGAAGCTACAAAAGACTCAAACATGAACATGTCAAATCAACCCAGCTAAAATCATGACATGCAGTCAAAAGAGGGCTCACAAAAATGCCTGGTTTTCTTCCTGCAGATCATTGTATCTGATTTGGCACCAGGAGGATGAAGGAAGGATTCTGCAGTTTCCTACAGAAGCAGTTTCTTTTGTGAGTAACTCCATTTCACTGTATGCCCACAAAGGCAATCTAAATACTCTCTTTACTTGTGAATTTTGAGAAAATGGTTGTCCATTGGGTTAAAGGCCTGAGGAACTACACCTTCAGGTATTTAAAACAAGTGACTAACATCCATTATTACCCTTTGGGCATATTAAAAGCAACACACTTAGCTGTAGTGATAGTGAGTCTTATTAACTTAGATTTCGGACATAATTTAGGCTTTGTAGACTAAGTAACAGAGATTATTTTTTGTTGTTGTTAGTTTTAAAAGATACCCAGTGGCTTCATATACTTGAAAGAGTTTGTCATGTTTGTATGTAAATTCTTTATCTCGGCTTTCGATAAAATAATTGTAAATCTGAATTTAGGTTGTTACAGAATCAGAGGCACAGAAATACAATTATGTATGTCAGGCTTACCGTCCATAGATCCCATGGTAATGTCTGAAACAAGTAGTGAAAAAAAGAGCTTGTCAGAAAAATACCATTCCTATATTATATGTCCAACATGCTACATAAAAATGTCCTTTGTAATGTAAGAGGAGAGAACTTATTTATATGCACACTTATAGTACATACAGTATCTTATACATTAGTACCTGTGCATGTGTGTGTGCATGTGTCTGTATCTGCATAATACTTTTGGTTATAAAGGATGGGCAGTATGCAATGCATTGTGATATTTCCCACTCCAAAGTAGTAGCTGCTTTTCTGCAAACTCACATTGCTGTGTGCATGAGTAATGGTCAGATTCTGAGCTGGTGACTGAGTAGCTTCCAACAGGTATAGGAGCCTCTGCAAGGTGTCAGCTTTAAAGAGCTTACAAAGGTGGGGCTTTCTAGCCTGTTAAAAATGGTTCAGCTACCCACTGAGAAGTGTATTTTCTCACAATAAGACACTAGAAAGGGAAATGGGAAAGAAAATAAGAAAGTTGACCAATATTTTCTTGTCCAGAGTGTTAATAAATGTTAGCGACCTCTGAACAGAAGAGCTAAATAGACAGATTAAAGAAAAGCATCAGACTTCCTGCCAAATATTTATAGCTCACCATACAAGAAGGAACTCTGCTGGTTCATTCCAAAAGCTGTCTGAGATGCTTCAAAATATAATTACTATATTCATGCCTTGGTTAAAGTTCACAAAACCCCAAAACCTAAAGATCTTCATAAAGCAAAATACTAAATTGAAACATTCTCAAATGTCAAATGTAACTTCTAACATTTTTGTGGTACAACTGCTACCCTTYGCTTCTCTTCTCACCTGTTTTGTTTTTTATAAGGACAGACTGGTTCTCTGAACAACTTCTGCTTTGATGAGCAAAAGACACAGTAATAACTCACTACTCAGATTTACAGCAAATTAATATCAACAGCCATTTCACATTCATTTTCATTTGGTTAAAATCCAGGCAGGTACTGCCTCTGTGGACGTAATTCATAAGTGCGTGTGTTTACCTCACTGTAACATTATTAGCTGAGCACTTCACCTTTAAGGAATAATAACAGGTCTGTTCTTACAGTGATAATTGGTAAAACTTTACATGTCCTACTGACTCCATGAAAGGAAAGATTGCACATTTTCCATTTTTTTTCATTTTCTTTTTAAATGAATTTAAATAAATTCCTTTTCTTTGAGGAAGAGGAGGAAGGAATAAACTGAGACATAGCAGAGCTAAAAAATGCAGAAGAGAATCAGACAGGTTTAGATAGGTCCCTTCTGAAGCAGCCATAGAAACAGAAAAACAATTGAGGTAGGACAGACCAGGACTCACTTACTGCGGTTGGATCACCCTAGCAGAGCAGTGGAGGGAGATAATTCATTAAATTAACAATAGACAAGTCATGCCAGGCCTCCAAAGGCATCATGCACTACTCCTGTCTTCACATCACTACTTCACATCACATGAAGCTGTTTGCTGAATGGAAAATATCCATGACTGAGGCAAAAATGACATACATATAGAAATAGCCCTTAAGGCTGTCTTAATCTCCTTGCAAGTACAGGGCTTTCCAAAGACTGCAGCCACAGGTTTCAGTCTCTCAATACTGCCATAGTAATTTGCCCTGTCAAATCCAGTGAGACCAAGACCCAGACTGTGGGGCTGTCTTCCCTTCTRAAAACATGGTGTTCCGATTCATCCACGTTCTCTTGTAGATGCAGACCATTCTTTCTCATATGCGAGGAAAGGTGAAAGGAGTGAGTAAAGGTGCTCAGTGAATGCTTTCTATGCCCTTAGATGAGAAGTTACAATGTACTTTTCTACAAACAATTATTTTCTGTATTTCATGGTACAGTTGAATATAAAATTACTGTTTTTCACTAAAATAATAAACTTTTCTACAATCTGTAAAATATGACATCAGAACAAATGTGGTCTGTCACAAAAGTTAAAGATCTTTGGTTTAATGATCTCCCTGCTCTAATCAGTATTATTACAGAACAAGCTGAAAGAGTAGTTAGCAAAGTCACACTTAGTGTTTTCTGTCACTGCTGAATGCTAAGGAATTTAATTTGCCTCCTCCTTCCCTTTCCTCTTCTCTGTTTAGAGGGAGAAAATACATAACAAGTAATAAAGCATAAAGCTTCTGCTAAAATGAAACACTTCTCATAGCAAATCTCAATGAGAAATTTCAGATAACGTTCAGAGTGCTGACAATGCATCGTTCTTCTGACAGTGCATATCCTGTCAGAAATTCCTACAGATCTCATTACATAACTAGGATTTCACACCAAATAAGAAATTAATTAACAGAGGAAGAGATCAGCAGAGAATCAGGACCATCTCATCTTTAAAGCTTCTTGTCTTCTCACTCCTTTCCCAATGCTGCATTTCTGAACAGCTGATTAGTCTTCTCATGTCTCACAGAACAAGCCAGATTAGTGATAGCACAGGGATAATAGGTCTTGCTAACAGTTTGTTAACATTACTTCTTTGTGTACAGGGCAGGGACACAGATATGCTGGCCAGAAGAATTTCCCTACTCCTCCCTTTTCTGGGTAGTGAGGTTGAACTCTGGATTTTAAAATAGCAGGTCCTATAGGATAAGCCAATGAATATCAGCAGCTTGATATATCAGCTTTTTTYCCCCCCTTTTTTTAATATATATTTTGCTGCAAAAAACTACCATTACAAATAGCATAACCACTCAGATCATACCACTGTTTGTTACAGAAACTCCATCAAAGTAAAGCCATTGCATGCTGACTCCATGAGACCTAGGTCCCCAAAGGCATCTTTTCAGACATGAAGAATCAAAGTAAGGTCAGAAAAGTTGTCAGAAAAATAAGCACTGGAGAATAATGTTTACACGAAGAGGTATTCTAAAGATGGAAAATAACAGCACGCTAAAGTGAAGGCCAAGGTACCAGCAACAATTTTCATCAGCAGATATTTCATTTTACCACATGACAATTTCTTCTCCTTCCAGTGCATCATCAAGTACAAGCTTACTGAAGGGGGAAGACAGAAGGCTGACTAGTGCTTCTCAAGATAAGCAAGTTTTTCAGACACTTCTCATTAATACATGAGGCAAATCTTTCCTACCAAACACAGCACATTGCATTTCTATGCTTTGCCTACATCAAGGCAAAGAGATACCTGAGACAGGGGTGAATGACTAACTCCTGTTGATACAGCTTCTGGCTTGAAAGGATCGAAGTCCAAATCCAGTAAAGATTCCTCTTTCTTAGCTTCCGACACTTCATTCTGTTAGAGGCAAAATATAATTCTTGAAAAACTTATCTTTCAAAAGCTGTCCTGGGCAGTAAAATACTAGGATGTGCAAGAAAAAAAAATACATCACAGATTTACTAGCTGTGGTGCACACCAGAACGGGAGGAAACTCTGAAGTATAAGTTTTAATCTTATGAGGTACACTCTTACGATGCTTTTCATTTCTCTGTAGTATTACTTCGCGTTTTCAGGATTAACAGTCACGGCCCTTTCAAAAAAGTGTTGAGTGTACATCATCTGACTGTGAGGGCCATTTTAAAGTGCTTTGAAACAGACATCAAGGCTAAGAACTACATGAATGGCACCCAATGTCTATATATTCTAATAAATTAACCTCTCCCCAAACAAAAAAATTACAAAAAGCCAATACAGAACAATATAAATGCATTTGAATTAAGTTCTAATTCTGATCATGTATACCAATTTACAATTTTGTAGACAGAGAATTGCAGATAATTGATGAGAAGGTGGCCAGAGAATAGCTGAGGACATTTCCTGGTCATTGACTGTGGTGGAGGCAAGGACATAAATCACTCAGGGAGATCCATTTTTCYTTGAGAGATGAGGAAAAGATTTCAGTTCTCAGAAGCATGTCCACTTTTATTATGCCATTCCATTTCTATGCCAATCTCTCATAGAAAGGATGTAAGGATTTTGGAAATGTGACTTACTAGTTTAAAGCCTTGTTCCAATGTCATCTCCAGAGGCACTATCTTGGAGAACTTAGGGTGATTACACAGTTGGATCTCTACACAATTCACCAAACCTTACCTGTGATGGGGTTGTCACATTGATTTCTGGGACAAAGTTGTCGTCAAATAAATTAATGATGTTCTCCTGTTGCAACTCCTTTGTGGGTGTGAGCTTAGGCAGTGGTGGGACTGGCGGACCTTTCCTCAGCTAGACAGACAGCAAAAATGTCACAGACTAGTTCAGGGATAAAAGAACATCTTTAATCTAAGCCTAAACAAATTGTCTTAGGTTTTTATTTCTGCTTCTTCACCCTAAATAAGCCATGGGAATAAGCCATGTATTAAAAGGAACCATTTAGCTGTTCACCACCAAATGCCTTGAAATAAACATTGTGGGAAGAACAAAACAACCCCATGTCTCAAAGTTATTAAAACTCAAGATTTCTGATTTCATACAAGAGCAACCCTTGGTTGTTTTTTTTCTGCTGTGACAGGAACACATTGCAAGACACTTGTTCTTCTATGCAGCCCATAATTGGAAGGGCGATACTGCACAGAAATAATGCCTCTGCAACTTTTTGGCTTCTTGAGCTCATCTGCATTTAGCTTTGGGATTTTGTCTCTGCCCACCTGTTGCTAGCCTTAGAGTGTACTTAATAATAAGACAATATGATCTCTGGGAACTACAACACTTCAAAGGTGCTTCGTTTACTATATTCCTCCTGCTCTTCAGGGATTCACATAACTATGACAAACAAATTGTTTGGAAAAGTATCAAAAAGTATTGGATAGAGTACAACAGAACCAGTGGTCTCCCCACCATTACTCAGTCACAGCCTAGATGAAAAATCCACTGTGTACATCATCTCAGCTATCTTTTGCTGTACAACAGGTCAGGTCCTCATGCTATGTAAATCCTTACCTGTGTGGGTGACTTAGGTCGGGCTGGTGCCGGAGATGCTGGTGCCAGCATATGATTGGGACTAGCAGTAGGGCTAGGCAGGGGAGAGGCCTCTTCTGGTGGTGATGGTGTTTTTGCAAAGCGGAGCGGACCCGAGTCACTAGACAGAAGCAAAGCAATGGCAAGGACATATATATCTTGCTGACTTATTACCTTGAAAATTTGATGCAGCAGCTGAACTGTGTCCCTGATGTAATGCCAGTGACCACATAAGAGAGCACACACTGGACACTAAGCTGTTATATAATGACTAAAACTAAAATTGCAATTAAATACAATTAAAATTCAGTGATCTATGGTGTCAAAGGATGTTTTAATTTTGAATTATCTTGATTTTTGGAATATTTGTTTATCTGATCATTGTAACTTGAAGAAAACAGAGTGCCTGCATTTTTAAAAATTCTGTACCTGAAACACCATTTCATTTATAAATTTATAAATTTATAAATTTATAAATTTATAACTATTATAAAATGTGAACTAAATTTATTGTCTTCACTTCACACACTTCTTGGAATAAAAGACTCTAAAGACACAAAAACCCACAGGAAGGCATAACAATGGATAATGCAAATAATTTTAAAAGCTTGGCAACTTCAGAAAAGTTTAAAAAAATAAAACACAGCCAAGATTATTATAAAGATATCACTATTTAGGAGGAAAAATTACTCAAACGATAAACAAGCAGCAGTCAAGTGACTTCAACAGACCTCTGCTGATACTAAGAAAAGATCTGATGAAGTCGTAGAAAGCATCTGCCCATCTCATGCAAGGACCTGGCGCAAACACTGAGATTACATTCAGCTACCTAGAAATACTGAAAGCTTACAGTGAGGGAGGCTATGAACTACACTACTCAGTGACCACAGTACTCGGTAAGAGCGAGTCCTACATGTCTTCAGGGAGAGCAGAAACACTATCTGATTGAGACCACAGCATAAACATGAACCTAATGCTAACACAAGAAAAAGTGTTCTTTGGAAGGGCAAACTTAGGTCACACTCACCACCTCTTTCTGTGGAAATATTAAAAGAGAAAAAATAAGCAGTCATTAAGAAATTTTTGTCTCAGGTACAATATTTGTCTTCAGGATATATTACTCAGTAGCATACAAGGTTCTAAGATGCTTCTTTGTCTGCAGCTCTTTAAAGGAAAAAGTAGATATTGTACTTGTCTAGTATCAACTTCTCATGCATCTAAAACAGAAAGCTGTTTTATCTTATGAAGACCCACTTGTGAATAGTCTTTTAGAGCATCATCACTAATAATGAAAGTCAAAATATATCCAGATTTTCACACAAGGCTCTTCAAATAGTATAGCTAAAGAGAGTAACAAAGTAACTGAAAAAAAGGTATTTTTAAGAAGCTTTTTCAAAGTAAGTTAATATCACACTGCATTAAACAATGTATCGTAATTTGCAGCAAAATTAATTTTTTTTGTCTCTCAGTGATGGAACAAATAAGTCAGTGTGAACAAGCATGTGCATGCTGGACATGGTCTAGGAGATATGGATAAAATACCTGTTGCTAACAAAAAGTTCTTGAAATCCAACATTACGTTATTTTACATCTCATAAAAGCATTTTATAAATCCTTTGTGGAAACATAGTCCAGTCTGTGAATCCACCCTAAATGGGCTGGAAGTGGTGATGCATGAGCTAACAGCTCCAAAGGCAGTACACAAGCATGGATTATCACTGAAATAATCTAAAATACTAATTTTAGTGATGTGCTTATAAGTAGTTCTGAATTTTGCATTAGGTCAGAAGGTTCAATATTTCATTCTTTGCTCTTTGAAAGTGAGATTAAAAGAGATGTAGGAATACCTGCCTTATGTTTGAGGYGGATGCTATACTGTTTGGTCAGTTTTAATTGTTATTAAAATAAGTCCATCTGGAGAGCAAATTAGTAGTAGCTATGTGAGGAAAAAATTTAATTTTTATTTATGCCTCAACATTGTCTGAATCTATGTTATAAAGCCATTTTCTGACAATGGGTAGAAAATCTCTACATGGGCTGAGCCCTAACACATGGCATGTGTAGAAGGTGGCTAGCATACTCAAGGGGGTGGAGATCACTGGTATTACAGTCTGTAAGCAGGCACCCCTGTGGAATACGACAAGCTATAACATTGTTCAGATTGCTTCTAGCTAGCTGGGATCAGATGGAAATTCAGGCTTATATATTAACTCTAAATATCATGGTGCCTTGATAAGTCTCACTGTTTTACATTTCAATCTTTTCTGCATATCAGTATTACAGATGAAATTATGGCAGAAAGGCTGCATTTGTTCAAATAAAAAAAATCAGAAATACCACACTGGTATCCACTGACCTTAAGAAAGCACCATCTGATTTTAAGCGCTTTTTGATTTTCTGCTTTAAAACAAGATTTAACTTGAAAATCTTTAAAAATACAGTATTTCTTGACATTCTCTTTACGTCAGCTTTTCTGCTCTTACGATGCACCCTCAGATCTTTACATTTCCCAGTAAGCAAAAGAGATAAAAGTTGACATTCAAAGGCTGGGAATCTCACCTAATAAAAGGAGGTAAAAACATATCTAAATATTTCAAAGCTTTAACAACATAGCTGAAAATTAAGCATCTAAGAATAAATCAGCTAAACACTTCGTGGATGCAAATTGATGTAACAGTCTACAACTTGGGTAAATTGACACGGCCTTCATTCTTTTTTCTTTTTGAAAGGACTTTCTAGCAAAAGAGTCAGTGAGGAAGCAAGTTTTTTTATCTTTTACTCCTGTTGAGAAGAACTTCATCTCAGACAGCTTCATCTACCATCCTGAACAAATAATGCCTGTTACCACGTTGTGCGGCAAGCGCTACACATGGTGTAAGTGGTTACTATGTATGCCGAAACATACAAAGCCTACAGCAATGCAAGTAATTAAAAAAGCTGTAAATTCACCTTGGTGCCCCTTGAATGGTGAAGGCCTTGTCTGCATGCTGATCCCCCAGCTTCGTCATCACTTCATATAGTTTGTGACATAGCTGTGAAAACAAAACAGTCACCTGAGTTTATATGAACATCTATAGTCATGATTAAAAACAAAGGTGATAAATCTGGTCTGATTAACTTTATGCCATAGTATAAAACCTTCCAAAATTTCTCAGTGCCACGTATAGCAAAAGCCTAAACAGAAACCCATAAAAATCCATAAAATCAAATAGCAGTTCTTCAGAAACATGAGCTGTTTCTTAGAGAACAAGTTCATAAGTGTGACTGACTGCTACGTGAGCTCTGATGAAGGAGGTCACCTGAAGTTTAAAGAAACATGAGCAGCCAAGAAAATTCATGTTTTCCCCTGAGATATCTAATCCAAATTTTCACAGAACTTCAGTAAAGTGAGTTTTCAAAAAAATTTTGGTTCCACTTTGCAGGTTACCACAGATAATACACTACTATTTAGCCAGGTACATTCAAAAGATCTTCAATGAAACTGCTTGATTTGCCTAACAGTCACAGATAAAATGTTGCAATTGATGACAATCAATACAGCGGCCTCGAAAGGAATGTTGGACATGTTTTTCTTATACTGATTAAAGCAAAAAGGTGCTTAGCAATTGGACACAGCAATAATACTGAAGGCAGCAGTAAATTATCAAAATAGAAAGTGATTTTAGTGCTACAACTGATAATGCACTGCAATCCAAAATTTTAGGGGCTGTTCCATCCTTAAGGAGAGAACAAGTATGGCAAGTAAAAATGAATATGACTATTATACTACAAATCTGGATCTATGGAAAATTCTCATGCGTGCATCTGTTAGATTTTTACTACAACACATTTGTTAGCTGTCATGCATATCATAATCCATTATACATGAAATAGGCAATTTTACTCACTAAAGCTATTTCCTTGTGAAACTTGGCTTCAAGGCTGGATACATTTTTGAAGGTGTTCACATAGAAGCCAATTCGTCTACAAAGGATGGCACAAAGAAAGGAAAAAGAGAATAAAAGCTATGTGTGGGAGGGCCACAAAGGCACAAACTGTTTTCTGGACTACAAGCAACATTCTTGACTATTACTCTTAGCAAAGCAAATGGTGAAATGTCAGAATTTCAGACTAGTTTGTGAATGATTATTTTTGTTTGTGTTAAGATACATATTTCACACCGCCCAGTGAACCAAATTGAGACTACTCCACATCAGATGTCTCCAGCTTGTTTTATAGGGAGAGTGGGAAAGGATGGTCACAAGCAGCACAAACACACAGAAGGCAAGATGCTCTGGGCATTTATCTCCCAGCACACAACCATTGCCTGAAAGGAGAAAGGTACCACTCTGGCACTGCAAGCTTCTGTGCCCAAATGTCATCACAGCACCAAGGTGATACAGCCGTATCTGGAGTCAGCTTTAATGTAAACAGCTCCGTACAGCCATGGGGTGAGTGTCCCCTGCTGAGCTCTGAAACTCATGCACATGTATATAAGAGAAAATAATTTAATACAGACTAGACACTTCTGTGCATGTAGTCGAAAATCTGCTTATTTGGGCTGAATGATGACATATTCTGCTTTGCAAAAGTAGRTGTTTTCTTAGATTTTGTGTTATTATTTTTCCTATTTAAAACTTACATGTATAATTTCTCCTAACTTTTATTAACAAAAATAATTTTTGGAATAAGAATAAGCCTGCAAAATGTCAACTCAAGAGGTAATTTTCTTCCTGAAAAACTGTAGTAACTAAAATAGAGGACTCCGAAAGCAATTGCTTTCTAAATTATGCATATTGCTTAAATTAAATTCTATCTTTCCCTGAGACTAGTTAGTGCACAATACACATACTGAAGTAAAATGGCCCTTATTCTAAATCACTCATATGCAGTTTTACTTTCAGCAGGCCCCTAAAACAAATATCTAGAAATGCTAAGAATGTTTTTACTGAAATAGGCAGAAACACAGCTGGAAAATCCTCTACTGGTCTGAAATTCAACACGATTTCATTTAGAAGGTAGAAAAGACAAAAGATACTTCAGTGACTGATAACACATTTACACTCCAGACTGTCAATTGTTAAAGAACATAACACACTAAGAGATGCTTATTTTTCTACTGCTTTTGTTGTCCCATTCATATTGTCTGCATTTTCTGTATAAACATAATTCATTATAATCTTGACTGAATGATCTATGCCATCAAATCAGTTTACATCACAACATAATCAGTGCAAAACTAAAAAAATGTGTCTTCTGATGTAGTTATAATAAAAATGACCTATAAGTAGACCCAAATCACCACAGACTACTCTGAGCTCTAGCATAATTATTTACTCTGAAAATGGAAACCTTTTTGCACCTCAGAATGAAGATATGGTAACGAAACTTAAGTGCCAAGATACATTGAAAGGAATAAGCAAAATACATTTACAGGATGTATTTTGAAGCACTTGCAGTATTTTGGAGCATTTGCATACATTTTTCTTTTATTATTTCAAAAAGACAATGGACGGAATCTTCAAGAATCCAGCAATCCATTTTCTATCAGCTCATTAAAATTCCCTCATTCCCTTTCCTACTCCCCATTTAGGCCTTTCATACAGTATCTCTCTAGGCTTACCGTGACCATAGGGAAGGCAACTCTTCTTGCAAGTCAGTATTAAACTCTTCAAACACTTTCTGTGCTTTTTGAAATTCTTCTTCTGCCTAAACCAAAATGAAACATGTGACTTCTGAAATCACTACGACTTAACAAAACCAAAATTATTTTTGTGTGGTTTTCTTAGCAGGTCTTTTACAATTTTTGCTAACAAAGGATGTGACTCAGTCCCACACCATGGAGGTCAACACAAGATTGGCAGTCCCCTCAAGTTAGGGCTCAAACAGGACTCCATCAGGAAAGAGGCTGAGAATACCTACCACATGCACCAAAGTACTCAATACATATTTGTATTTAGAGATATCATTATTTCTAAGAGAGCAAAAACAAGAGAAACTTTGTGCTCTGYCTCTGTACAGAAACAAATGCCACCCAATCTCCCCAAGTCTTTTGCCAGCATGTTTCTGATTGTCTTACCTTGGTAATTCTGCCTTCATCTTTTCTTTTTGAGCTCTGCAGGGCTTCTAGGTGATGCCTTGCACTGTCATAGTCCACTAGCTTTCTGCTTCGTTTTGCAATACGAGTCTGTACAGAGGTAGAAATGAAAGTAAGTATGAAGAACACTTTTAAAAAAGCCATTTTACTTATGCTGCCTATTTAATTTATGAAATATTTTATTCTYCCTTATCTGCTGCTGATAACAGAATTATTATATCATGTAGAAGGGACATGGAAATGGTAAAAGAGACAAACTAATCAAATTATTTTAAATTAAGGAATCAATTTACAGGTAGTTTGGAAAGGGTTTTCATGGGKGTAGGGCTTACAGGCCTTAGCATTGAGGTATCAGTGTTGTGTAAGACTTGTCACATTGTCCAGAATCAGTGAACCTGTTCAACTCATGGAAACACAATCATTTCCCCTTATATATAGTGTGAAAATTCAGAAGCTAATGCATTTTTTCTAGAGTTTGAAAAATGCTAAAATATACGTATACATATAGTAGTTCTAACACATACCTAGAATACTGGAGTTTAAGTTATATATACAAATATATTTTAATACACACTTTATAAAGCTATATATTATATGTAAAATCCACATGCTGAGAGGGCATGAACACAGCTTGATTTAAAAGCAAGTTTAGTACTGTACATCAGTAATGTTAGTATTTTTAATTTTTTTTTCTTTAGTCCGTGATGTAAATGACCAAGGAGATGACTGTGTGGTACCTACTCAATTATAAACTATCACAAAAAACTTCCAGCTATGTCCTTAACAGTCATATTCAAATAAAAATGTATCTACCTCTCACCTATAATGCTTCTTTATTCATTTCATTTAGCAGCCATCTCCCTGGACTGTATGCCAGATGGGCATTTGACAGAGGCTAGAATCTGATGTGTATTACATAATCTTTTTATAACTATTGAAAAGACATGGCTTAGATAAAAGAAAGATACTCACAGGTGCATCTAGCCAATAACAAAAAGTCTGCTTTCTGTGTAATTTGTCTGGCATTTTAACAGCTGAAGAGCTTAATGTCTTTATTGAAGTCAGTTAAAATTATCTCATACCAAAGAAACAGGATCAGGAAAAAGCATAAAAATTACCTCTACAAAGGGTAATTTGCTTCCAAGTACTACTGCATGAAAAATATTTTTGTTCACTTGGAAAATCAGCCCTGCTAATGCCAGAAACTTACTAACAAAACAACATATTATACATTATAGGAGAACATGACTTCCACCTTCCACTCTTTTTCATTTGTTTTTGCTTGTAATCTCATTTTCTATTTATTTTGCAACTCAACAGAGTTTAGAACTTGTCTTTTATAGAAAATCATTACTCTACTTTGATATCAGGAAATTGTCCTAGATATGTATCCAACGTTAACAATGACCCATCCACCAGTTTTTGATGGAAGTCTTCCCAAAGTTCATCACATTTCTGAAAAGGTAGAAAGAAGAAAAATGTGTTTAGTAGTTTAACGCCACTCTAAATGTAGGAAAAATACAAATGTAATTAGCAAAAATTAATCTTTCTGAAGTTTTAAAATGTTCTTTGCAGAAATAAATCTGAACACAATCGTAAGGTGAATGAAAAGGAATACCTTAACATTGCAAGTTTAATTCACAACAAAATAAGATTAAACTTAGTAACTAGTTTGTGTTTTCATTATTTCAAATAGCAAGTGCCATGTGAAAATAATGATATCATGAATTCAAAGTATTCCTCAGAGTTTCAGGTCACTGAGAATCAGTAAAGAAGAATCTGAACCTGGCCTAGCTCTTGTGTCTAAGTACATTCACTGACGATAAACCTCGCTTACAGAGAAAGTAAGTACAACTGAAAATAGAAGAGCAAATAAAATACAGGGAAAGATCTTTCCATCTCATACTTTTTCTGCCATTAAGGTACATTTGATGAAATGGCTGATGCAGACAACGACTATACCCTACACTGCTGGAGAACTGGAATGACAGATAGGAAACATCCCAACATCAGCTGGCAAAATAAACAAAATGCACATGCCCGCCACCCTCTGCCTTGAAGGTAAAGTGCTTTTCCCCAGTCCCCTTTGGAGCTCTGGGGTAGTCACCAGGAGGTATCACCTGTAGTTTTCTGATTTTATGAACATATTAATGCTGCTCATGTGACAAGGACCCATGGGTGAGATTCCTCACCAGAAGCAAATCCTGTTACACAGAGACATAGACCTGGAGGTCCTGGGTGCTAAACGGAACAAGTCATTAGCACATGTTAAACATCCTGATTCCCCCTTTCTTTCACATTTCAAAAATTACTTTACATTCTCCCCTTTGATGGGAGGGAGGCTAATGCTCTACAGGGCAGTTATCCTGACTAAAATATCAGGATAACTAAGCACTGGTCTACAGGGCAGTTATCCTGACTAAAATGTCTGGAAAGCTATTCCCTAGTGTTTGCTTTGTCATAACCTACTATAGGGTGTACTATAAATGCTGTGATGCCTGCTTTCAGTTCATTCATTTCCTTGCTAACAGAGTCCCTAATGAATTATTAGAATCTATTAAACATGCTTAAAAGAAATACCTAATTTATTAACACAGTATTTAATTACAGTGGTTTATAAAGCACCAGAACATTAGATCATAGCAAGCAACTACCAGGCTTGTGTGTTTGCCTTTGTATCTTGCTGGTATATATTTTGAACAAATTAAAGTAACAGAGGTTTTCTGAAAGCTAATGGACTCAAAAAAGCACTGCTGAAGGATCCTTTAAGCCACCATCTTTCCTACCATACAGAATAAGGTCTTTTACGCAGATCCCTTTTGGAATGATCATTTATATCCTAAACTGAAYAGGTATGTAATTCTTTTTTACTCTAGGCTGAGGGATCACAGAACCAGCTAGTCTGGAAAAGACCTTTGAGATCCTCAAGTCCAACCTTTGACCTAACACCACCTTGTCAAGTAGACCATGGCACTAAGTACCACATCCAGTCTTTCCTCAAACGCCTCTAGGATGGTGACTGCATAATCTCCCTGGGCAGCCCTATGCTAATGTCCAGCCTAATCTCCCCTGCCACAGGTTAACATTGTCTTCTTGTCCTGTCACTGGATGCCTGGGAAAAGAGACCAACCCCCCCGTCCCTCCACTACAACCTCCTTTGGGGCAGTTGTAAAGAGTGAAAAGGTCTCCCCTGAGCCTTCTTTTCTCCRGGCTAAACAACCCCAGCTCCCTCCGCCACTCTTCACAGGACTTGTATTCCAGACCCTTCACCAGCCTCATTGCCATTCTCTGGACACGCTCCAGCATCTCAACATCCTTCCTAAATAGAGGGGGCCCTGAACTGGACACARTACTCAAGATGTGGCCTAATCAGTGCTGAATACATGGGAAGAAACACTTCCTTAGTCCTGTTGGCCACACTATTCCCGATATAGGCCAGGATGCCATTGGCCTTCTTGGCCATGCGAGCACACTGCTGGCTCACGTTGAATCTGCCATTGGTCAGACCCCCCATGTCCCTTTCTGCCAGGTCACTGTCCAGCCACTCTATCCCCAGCCTGTAGTGCTGCAGGGGGTTGTTGTGGACAAAGTGCAGGACCCGTCACTTGGTCTGTTAAACCTCATATTGTTGGATTCAGTCCATCTATCCATCTTGTCCAGGTYCCTCTGCAGAGCCCTTCTCCCTCCAGCAGATTGACACTTGCACCCAGCTTGGCGTCATGTTCAAATTTGCATTTGGTAATGATCTCTTCACTCAGAACATCAATGAAGATCTTAAATAGGACTGGGCCCAGCACAGATCCCTGGGGGACACTGGTGACTGGCCACCAGCTGCAGGCAGCACCRTTCACCAGCACTCTCTGGGCCCAACCGTTCAGCCAGTTCTTAACCCAGTGAAGGGTGCACCTGTCCAAGCTGTGAGCTGCCAGCTTTTCCAGGATTATTTTATGAGAGACAGTGTCAAAGCCTTTGCTAAAGTCTAGATAGACAACATCCACAGCTTTCCCTGCATCTACCGGGCAGGTCACCCGGTCATAAAAGGAGATCAGGCTGGTCAGGCAAGATCTGCCCTTTCTCCATCCATGCTGGCTGGGTCTGATCCCCAGGCTGTCCCTGTAGGTGCTGTGTGATCACACTCAAGATGACCTGTTTCATAACAGTGCTGGGCACCAAGGTCAGGCTGACAAATGCCAGGCCTAGTTCTCCTGATCCTCCTTTTGGTCATTTTTATGAGGGATGTCACACTGGCAAGTTTCCAGTCTTCTGGGACCTCCCCAGTAAGCCAGGACTGATGATTAACGATGAAGAGTGGTTGGGTGTGCCAGCTCCTTCATCATCCTAGGATTGATCCCATCTGGGCCCCCAGGCTTGTGAGCATTGTAATTGGCCCAGCAGGTCACTAACTGCTTGCTGCTGGATTACTGGGGGCTATTCTGCTCCCTGTCCCTGTCCACTAGCTCAGGAGGCCAGCTGTCCTGAGGATGACCTGTCTTATTGTTGAGAATTGAGGCAAAGAAGGTGTTAAGTACCTCAGCCTTTTCCTCATTTTTGGTAACTATATTCTCTCCTGTGTCTAATAAAGAATGGAGGTTTTCCTTTGCCCCTCTTTTGATAAGAATGTATTTATAAAATCACTTTTTATTATCCTTTACAAAAGTGGCCAGGTTAAGTTCTAATTGAGCTTTTGCCACTCTAATGATGCATAAATCTACATTTGTGATTATGTACAGAAAAAAATCAGGAGATTTTGTAATATTGCCCATGTATCTCTTATTAAGAAAACACATCTAGAATGTATCTTAACATTTAATAGAGCTTAAAAACCAAATTTTGGTCCTTTCACACACACTACAAATTTACGAGTGTAAAATCTAGTAGTCTACAGATACAAGATGAGGTGCTACAGCAAGATGCAGCATAAGATTTTCCAGCTGTTTAACCTAAAACAATATAAAAATCCTAAATCAATCAAACCAAAAATATGTATCTTAAATTAGGCTATTTGGAAGTTGGTGCTTTTAAAATCAAAACACTTTGCAGCAGGGAAGGGTAGGAGAATGCAGCCACAGATGCACTATATTCCAGTTTACTGTTAACTATATTATCACAGAGGCCTTGCAGACTGAATGCTAGGTCAAAAGCTTCACTGACAACTATTTTCACTTTCTTGTCACCACCAGCACATTTGCTGACAGAATTCCCCAGAACTGAGGCTGTTTAAAAAGGCAGTTCACAGCACCTCAAGTCAAATTCCTGCTACGTTGTCTAGAAAAACCTATTTTTCTCTAATCACTGGAGGAAGGTAAAAACGAATAATGTCCTGAACTCTAATTTGCCCTTAAATTCCATCTTCTTTTCAGAGAGAGGTGTCTCATAAGATATCTGTACACTGACTCAACAGTTGTTACACAGCACAAAAGGATAAGAACGTTTGATAATTTTAAACATTCATTTGAATTGAGAATCCTGGCTGTAAAATGGTGTGTAAGATAACTTTGTACAAACTTGCCAGTCAGATGCTATCAGGACCAATTCTTTCCCACTGAGGCTGATCTCAGTGGGAGTTTACATCAATTAGTTCATACAACAGACACTGCAAGGGCTGCATCTGGCCAGCATGAGCTGCATTTCACAAGACCCTACTTTACATGCTGAGAAAACAGGATTCAACATGACAAAAAGGATGAAGGTCAGTTTTGGAAGCACACTTCTCCTCAACATCTCAGATTAATCCATTTGCAGTCAAATTACTTTTTCCCCTCTTTCCGTACATCTTACCTCTCCAATCATTTTCACATCTTCACGTCCATACCAGTCTGGCTCATACACCTCATGAAGAGACTCCGTAAGTTTCTTTGAGGCATCTTGCATCCCTGCAATTAGACAGAAAGAGGACTTGCATACAAGAGCAAATGACAAGAAATAGTTGCTTAATATCTTTATTTTCATCCATATATACACACTACGCTATTCCCTCTGGCAAATTTAGAGAAGAGATACCTGAACTTGGGGAGAGTGCTGTAATGGACCTGGTTTCATGAAGAMTCTCTTATGGTCACCCTGTAGGTTTAGAAATTTGTGGAGCCCAGCGCTTATTTATGCTTGCAATAGGGCGGTGCCGGCAGAGGGTAGTGCTAAACCAAACTGATCAGTCACTTTTGGAGCTCTTGCTACCACAGGTGGAACAAGAATATGGACTATTGATAGTTATCACTCTGTAATACACAGAGGAGCTGGCTTAAATGTAAAATAGTTTCAGTGACATTATGAGAAAGAGCCCAAATCTATCTTAGTGAGACCAGTCTGACCCCAATGAATAAAAAAAACACAGTGAAGGTACTGGGGTTTGCATTTTGATGCAACCAATCCATTAGATGCTGAATATGGTCCTGAATCCAGTGAAACCAAACTCATCTCACCTAACTTTCTGAGAGTTCAGAATAAGTAATTTTAAAATGACAACTTTTATTTCTACTTATTTGTAAAATCTGAATATTTGAATTTTTACTTATCATTTATCTTTTTTAAAAAAACAGCACATTTTTTTCTCTAGTTAAAATCTGTTTTCTATAGCACATCTGTGCTATTTTGAAAATATCTCTAAGTGTGATTTTCAGATTTAACTGCTTAGTGAATGAATTTAGTAATAACATCAATATTTTTGTTTTTTGGACAACAAAATGTTCATGAGTAGAAGATGAAAATTCATTTGAAACTTGAATGTCTAGAAGAGCAGACTTCATCTAGTCAGTTGCTATTCCACCACACACTCCCAAAACACATGCTTGAAATATGATGGGAAAATAAATGTAGTAATGTATACTTCCCAACATGAAAATGGTGGTCTATGCAATGAATAGGATAGGAAAACAGATACCACAAAGTCAGGGAGTACTGTGATGCCTGTTCTCAATCCTTGAGTACAAAAGAAAGAATGTAATGATGGCAAACAAGTACAAAGGAAATGCTTGTGTTTAGGGGATACAAGCTTTCATTCTTAAATCAACAGTACTGAGGCAAAACAGAATATCTGATCTCTTTAGGTATTGTCGTGGGGATGGTTTTTAATGACAGAGCTCAGTTTAGAATATTAGGATAGCACAAGTATTAAGATGCATTTCTTCCTTTCCTCCTTCATCCTAATACCTAGGATGACATATCCACAGCTAAGAAAGAGTTTCCCTGAATAAAAGGGACTTTTTTTCGTCTTAGAAGATGCCAAATTACAATAAAATACAGATGATCTTCATGTATCTTTCCGGGCAGGACTCATTTAAAATCTTTAATGCCACTGCAAATTAATCAAGTGGTAAAGCAAAACCAACAGTATTTCTGTGCTTAAGAAGGCTGCTTCTCTCCACTCAGACCAGGAGGGTTTGCTCATCACTGCTCACATTTGATCCTTTCTGATACCTGAGCTTCTGTCCTTAAGCACTCTGCATGATAAACCTGTGGTGGAGGTTCCTGCAGCAGGCAGGCTGACACAGCTGCTGGATAATCACTCCTGCAGCTTGCACTCAGCTCAGTCACAATCCATGTTGTCACCTTTTCCTAGACTTTCTTTTTTAACTTCTACAGGACTCAGGAATATATCTGCTTAAGGAAATAAGTAAAACACACCTTATATGCCATGCTTGAGTCATGTCAAAACTGCATCAACTTTTACCCTATTTTCACTTCTGAGAATCAGCTAATCCTCCATTCCACACATTTCTGTAAAAAATATCAGTCAAATCCACTGTGAAGAAAGTGGGCAGTAAAGTATTTGGCTTCTTCAGTCAGGGGCTTAAATCTGAAGTTTCCAGGCTAAGATCATCCATCCTACGCCCCTCTAATAGCATTTATACCAGGTTTACTGCAATACCCCAATTAAGTGAAGAGATAAATCACCAATCCAGTGAATTTCCATTCTTTTTCATGCATATGGGCATAAACTTTCAATGTGCAATGATTTTTTTATTTGACTGGTTTTCACATGGAATTATTTCTTACACACTGATACCTTCTATGCATTATTCAGCACTAAATTAAAGAGGGTTAGTATCTTAGTCATAGACTGCAGGCTGACTCTGCGGTTTTAAACTGCTACCACTGAGAAAGATAAATTGTTAAAAGCAAGTCATTAAAATATTAAGAAATGTGAAAAGAATTTTTACTGCTGATGAACAGTTAGAAATTTATATTTATTATCAGTTGTTTCATTCAGTACTGCTTGTTGGTAATTGGGTCCTTTACTTGATAACTAAAAGTGCCAAAATATTTGAATCACTTAGGAAATACGTTTCTAAATAATCCAGTTGCCAAAGACTGAGCTTCTCAGATTAAATGATTCCTGTATYTATGGGAAAGAATCCCTGTCCCTGGAACCCTCAAAAAATTCTAGAGGCCTCCATGTGGTAGGGATCCTAGGGGTGGCAGTGCAGAGACATTCCCATTAAGCACACCAGAAACAGTAGAGGGAAGATGACTATTTACCATTACAGTTCCAATGTACTGAAGCTCCCATGGAGAATAAGACAGACCTGGAACAGCATGAAGGCTGTAGAACTCATATTCTGTAGGGTCTCCTCACTTCCCTGCAGGGTAATCTAGTCTCAATCCTGGAGAAATTTCCATTTTCCTGATGGGGTCAGATGTCTCGGTCTGGCTCTTAATATTTAACTACTTATATGGTTCTCCAGAAAAATKACCCACCCTGCCATAAGGGTTGTATTTGTTATTGCTAGTAATCTGTTAAGAGTTGTCATTGAAATAGTTCAATAATTTAATAACTAATGAATAATTTTTGCAGAAAGATGAATAATTTTATGGCTTTTAAAAAATTACATGGCTGACTTTAAGATTTCTGTATCTGGAAGATATGTGCAGTTCTGTCAGCCACAGGCTGACAACTAGGCAGCAGAACTGCTTACAGACCTCAGAAATCTCCTCCTCTTCCTGTAGACAAGTTAATCCTTATAACTACATTAAGCATCCTGGAGGGTATGGTGCTTTCTTTTCCTCATGCAGAGCTCCTTTGTATTTGTGTCACCTTGCCACCTGCATGAAGATCCAGGTTTATATTTCCCCATTGCACTGGTACTTGCAAAGTGCTTGGGCTAGACAATGGGTAAGTGATTTAGGGTTTCTATAACAATTGGCCCATTCAAGTCACTTACAGCTCTCTCAAAAGCTTAAAAATAAACCATGAAGTATAGAACCCAGACACATACTGCCAAGGAGGCTGGAGGAGACACAAGACTGAGGCATGAGATGACTAAAGCTATGGGGGATATTACACAGTCCCATCTGTACAAAGTCCACCGATACACAGCAGACATTAAACTATCATGCAGGTCACCTAAAATGGCACATAAAAGCCATTCACAAGTTCAGCAACTTAATGGCATGGTTCCTCTGAGTTCTTGAATAAGCAATAAGAAAGATCAAGGTCCAGCTAAGAACTAAGAAGCACCAATGAACAAGAGAAGGAGTCTGAATATGGCAAAAATTCGTTAAAGAATGTGTGATACTAAATCTCAAATTGTCAAGTACATTTAAATGAAGGGGGAGAGGGTCATAATAAGACTCAATTGACTGTTCCTTGCTTAAATCCTCACCTGGAGTATTGTGTCCACGTCTGGAGTCCTCAGCACAAGAACGACATGGATCTGTTAGAGCAAGGGTCACAAAGATGTTCCGAGAAATGGAGAACCTCTCCTACAAAGACAGGCTGAGAGATTGTTCAGCCTGGGGATAAGCAGGCTCTGAGGACACCTCCTTTTGGCCTGACAGTATTTAATGGGAATTTATGAAAAAGAGAGAGAGCAACTTTTTACACAGGTAGACAGTGGTAGGACAAAAGGGAATGAATGGTTTGGAACTGAGAGAAGAGAGATTTAGATGAGATGTTAGGAAGAAATTCTTTGCTCAGATAGTAGCAAGACACTATCTGAGTAGCCAAAAGAAGTTGTGGATGTCCCATCCTTGGAAATGTTCAGGGCAAGGCTGGATGGGGCTCTGAGCAATCTGGTCCAGTGAGTGCTATCCCTGCCTATGGCAGGGGGATTTGAACTAGATAATCTGTAAGGTCCCTTCTAACCCAAACCATTCTATGATTCTATGAAATCGTGCCTGGATTTGTACTTCCTACTTCCAATATCAAGTCACTCAGAAGTCATGCAGAAAAATGAAACTTACTACTGGAGTTCAAATCCCAAAACACTTTAAAATGAACTGCTTCTCTCATACATCTAAGAGTACAAAGATGTCAAGTACATTATTTTCCAATAATTCCAATATATGTAATTATATGATCGACCTTTTTTTTCAGCAAAATGAGCCCCTGACGACAGCACGACTCTGTGCCTCTGATGTCCTTGGTGCAAAAATCCCACTCAAGTGCCTAAATATGGGAGTTCCCATGCTTTWTGCACAGATACCCCAAAATCTCTCAATGATAGTAATCCTTCAAAGAATTGCAACAAAGACAYTGTAGCAGGTGCTTCCATCGTTCCAAATCAGGAAAGGTCTTTGGCACTGCTGACCAAGTCATCTCTGAGGAAACCTCAGCCAGAGTTGTGTATTGTGTGCTGTCTTGGGTAGTGTGCTCACTCCACAGCACCAACACGCACTAATATATGTACCAAGGATGCCCATTGGTGGCTTGTTAACTTTGACATTTTTAAGGCTTTTCTGAGTGCTTATGACTGGATCGTTTTTAAGACATGTAGATAATAAGATGTTAGCAAGCACTTTTCATTCTGAGTAAGAAAGTCAATCCAAATTACTTAAAGGCTGCATCAACAGAAAAATGTTAAACGGAATGGCTAAAAAGGCAAAACTTAAACAATGGAAAATTCTACACCAAGATAAACACCAAATTTGGTGCAAAAAGCAGCCCGTTAGAGAGTAAAAGAGCAAAAGGACCATGAGTGTAGAGTACTAGGAAAAGAAGAGAGATGGGGGAAGAAAATGAAACAGAGAGGAATGGTATTGTCACTATTGTCACCAATATGGAAATCAAGCAGCATGTAAACAGTCAGCTTATGTGACATATAAGACATCCGGCCAACAAACAGCATTATCCTGCTGCTTCTGAGTAACCACCAGGCAATGTGTGTGGGGAACAGTGAAAACTTAGCAATCAATGGGTTTCCCCTGAAAGACAGATGCTATAATTCCCTCTGAGAACAAAAGACATTGCRTTGATTTGTCTGGGATGGAATTTTCCTTGGGCAGCCCATCCAGAAAATAATAGATGGTCAAAGACATCAAGCTCCTGCTTTGCTTCCCACTTTATAATTGCCATCAAAAAGAGCTTTCTTACCTGCCTGTGAACAGCTGATGAAGTATTACAATGACAGTGATTTCCAGGGATGTTGAYACTAATTTGCAAAATTTTCCTTACTGGACTGGAGCCAGGTTAGAGATATATATACACATATATATTATTATCTCAAGAAACTACTGTTTCAATCAGTCACCAACTCTTGTCCCCTTCCCTTTAGCCTCCAACTACTCCAGAGAGGTGGCATGAGAAAGAGAATACTTTGCATACAGTGCTCTGTTGAGTGTGCTGGATTTACAAATGCCTAGTAGGATTTAAATGGCTCTTTGCTTATCTCTGATATTTAAGCACTAACCAGTGAGCAWCTGCTACTTGGATTTTCAATGTAGTATCAAAAGACATCATGTTTGACTTTTAAACTTAAAAAAAAATGGATGAAGCACTCAGAAATAGATGAGAAATCACATTATTGCAGGGACCGTGGTTTTGGAGGAATCTTGTCATCCAATTAGTTATACCTGGAAATGTTACAGTTGTGGAAATCATTCAATCTCTTGCCTTGCATGAGGTATTTCATATTCTAGCATTTGCAAAGACAAATAACAAGGTGCATAGACTTTGTGGGTGCTGAAAATGCATGCAGTATGACAATGTGGGCAGCAGAGGATGCACACAAAGGACAGGCGAGGATGCAAGACTGTACACACAGGAATTGACATCGAAGGTACAGAATCCCCAGCCTGAGGTTCAAGAGAATTTTACTTGTATTTGTCTTTGTMTACTTTAAAGAAGAACACTTGTCTCAATTTTTCAAAACAGTTTGCTTTATGAAAGCGTGATGTAAAACAYAAAAATCACCTTTAATGGCTGCTAAATATCCTCTCAGTTCTCTCTGGAGTCTGGAACCCTCGGCCTGTAAAAGAAGAAAAAAACAAAAGCAAGGCAGTGAAAACATGTCAATTATGTTTAATGCCTTGAAACATGCGTGCACTATGTCAAAAAACAACTAAAAGCAATTTCAGGAGCTGATTAATAGTGTCACATGTTGCAAGCATGCACAGATTCACATAAAATGGGGGCCTGGTGAAAGAGGCTTGGCATAGTGTAGTCTCTAGGCTAGAATTTCTGTGTTTATTTTATCAATCATCTGTCCAGGGAAGAATTCCACCCAAAAATAGACAGACATATTTTTCAGCCAAGGTCGAGTTCAAGTCAGCCAGGCCTGTGGCCTAATCTGAAACACAAATAAGTATAATCAAAAACAGTGAACCTCCACTGGAAACCACTCAAACAAGGCCAGTGTAGACATGAAGAAAATTCATACCCTTATACAAGTTTTTTATTGTATTTGCAAACAACTTACCAAGTATTCTAACATTTTAACATTTTGCAAGTAACTACTAAAATACAATAATATTAGTTGCTTTGTTTTGCTTGACTAGGGCATCTTGCAGTCTACTGTGAAATCTCGACTGTTTATTTGGCAAGTATATAAAAATTATTTTTCTTTCTCTTATRCCAACAACCCTTGAAAAACTCAGAACAGAGAAAACACAATGTATTTGTTACTTTATCTCAGACCGTATCACAAGTTGGACTTCACAGYTCCTAGGATTTGCAAAGAAGCTTGTGCTACACATATACTTTATTGCTAAAATGTTGCTGTCCAGGACACCTTCAATAGCCTGAAGATTTTTGAAACAGCCCACATTTATTAATTTCCAGTTAATTTATTTAAGCAGTTGGAAACTACAGGAATACCAGCTTGCAGCCACATTTTCTCACATACAGCTACACCATATGGAAAAATCAGCAGCAAAATATGACTGACTGCTTTGGAGTTTCTCTTATTTTCCATGTGAAAGTCAGAATCTAAAGGGTGAATGTAAATAAAGTGAATACTTCAGAAGGCAGAAGGTATGAGCTGCTGTAACTCCCCCTAGTTCAAAGGACTTCTGATGTCAGCAAAAGATTTGCCATCAGCAACTTCAATGTTCAGAGCATTCAGACACAGAGGATCAAAAGAAATTCAGGTTGATAGGGGCCATCTGATGCTTAAAAGCCATCTATCTGCAGCCATGTTAAATCCAAACTCTGGTTCTGAAAAAACACCTGTCTCACCAGTACAGCACTACAATGCAGATTACATCCACCAAACTCACTTCTCATAGGTTCCTGAAAGGAACTGTAGGCTTTTAGGAAGGGATCAGTAACAGCACACACTCCCCTCTGCCCCATTCCCATCCTTCAAATTGCAGTGCACTAGAAGAAGAGAGCAACTGTTTAAAGTGCTGGAAATATTAAATAATCTGGAAGGTAAAAATGCCTGAGTGGGCCTAGAAAGCAGACTGAATTCACTTTATRGATTCAACAAACAGAAAAACTTGCTTTTACACTAATTTGATCTGAAACAAGTCACCTGAAGCTCTCACATCCATTTATTGACTAAATTCTGAGCACAGGAACAGACCCTCCAGGGTGGTATCTGAAGAGCTGCCAGGTAACAGCAAGTGTGAAGGAGCAGCCAGCCCAGCAACCTTTCTATGGTTTGGGGCCATATTTGATGCTCCAAAGAAAGGCAACCTCTTACCTTGCTTTGGAATCAAAGCTGCATATCAGAACAAGGGCCAAACAGGCACAGGTTGAGTATCAGAGGATTAAACCTCAGATTTAATTACYAATAGAACGGCAGAAAGTTCTGGAGTAGTAGCTAGATGTTGCGTCCTTTAAGAAAATATTACATGTACATCTTAGTGCTTTTTAGCAAAAAGTACTAATGCATAATTACAACAAATTTTTTTCATGCTACACAACACAGGAGAAACTGTCTTCTTTCTAGCTTAATTCTGTGCTTGAATGGTAAGCAGGGAGATGACAAAAGCTGCCGGCTTTCCATGGACCAAAGTATTATGTGATCAATGCTTCAACAGAGGAAAGAAGATTGTACCCAGAAGCAAATTTCTTGTTCTCATGACTGAAGAGGAGGATCAGCAAACGTTTGGAAGAAACAAGAGGGAAGTTCCCCTTTTATGCATGCCAGTCTCCTCCTGGGAGGAACCCTGGTACTATGAGAAGTCACATGAAGGCATGGAAGTTATCTTTCCATTTCATACCTTCTTTGGCCTGAGCTTGTGTGGTAAAAATGCAAGATCCTGCAACTAGGTTCTTCATCATGGTCCAGCTGAACAGGTGACCATATAATAAAAAAWTTTAGTTATTAAAGAATCTCTGATGTTCTGGGAGCAGCAAACTGCAGTTGGAAGGCTGAGAGGCTCCTTATCTGATTTCATGTCCAGTTTTTCTCATACACATGACATTTTGTCACTTGGACTAGGCGGCACCCCACAAATGTCAGGGAAACACTGATCAAACATTATGTTTACAGCTATACTGCTGTGCAGTTTTGTAACTACTACCCTAAATCACTGTCAGATCTGTTGTGCTCGGTTAGCATTGTGYGTCATCAGCAATTGCTGCTCAGGAAAATGTGTGAGAAAAAGTCAAAGTAGTAAAACATGATGTAAATATTTTGCCATATGTGCTGTTATGAGTTCTGACACTTCATTCAAAAGGATAACTTTAATATGCATCTCACTCAGTCTAGGTCATTAACAGTCCACAACCCCCTGAAATATCTAAGCATGATAGAGAATTTTCCCTCATTATCAATTGTTGTGTGATGGGACATTGAAAAATCCATGAGCAAGAGCCAGCTCCCATTGAATTTGAGAGATAATCTCTCCATTTCAATGGCAACAAAATTAGACCCTTCCAAAAATACCACAAATAAAAACTGGCATCAAAAGCTTTCAGCCCTGTAAATTCTGCAAAATGGTCTACACATTTTCTAAAGTAAACTCATTATTAATGAAGACAGATACACTCTTGTCACTTAACAGACAAATTAAAATTCATCAGATGAAAATACCGCATTGCTGACTACGCATACCTTGCAAACTGTTTACAAACAGGTTTTAAAAAGTAGTTTTTAAAAGATTGTCACATATTCAGTGTTTGAGGTGTTTACTGATACACTCCTTCCACTTTCTGGTCTATCAAATTAAAACATCTGGTGGCTCTGTAACCACTGCTCCAAGAGTCTTCATGAAAGAAATGAATTTTGTTAAATGAGATGCAGCTTCTTGAGGGAGAATAAAAGATAGAAGTCCTTTCACCAATGTGGTGTTCCTCTGAAATGAGATTTCCTGAGACAGCACTGATGCTTTCTTTATAGTTTCATAATTTCTTCCATTTGTTCTACTTAAGGCAGCAAAACGAGTTGGTTTCATAGTATGTAAGAAACTCCAGCAGAAAGTCTCAATGACAAACTTCTCACAATCAGTTTGTTTGATAACAGTACGCATGTTCTAGCAGACTCCAGCACCAAAAAATCAGTGCTCTTAGCTCACCTGATCTATTGCATAATCCTGCTTAACTTTACAGCAGAGCAAGGGAGGCATGCCAACAACCCAAAACAACATCCATCTTATGGAAAATCAACACAGCTCTTCACAGCAATGTCCCAAACAACAGTTTGTTGCTTTGAACAATGTAGCCCATCACTTTTCTACACTCTGGTCTCATTATATGGTCRGTATTATATAATTGGTAAAGACACATGAGGTTCAGTGTTTCAGGATCTAGCAATCTACAGCCACAGGCCTTGCACACTGACAGCAGCATTAAGCCTTTTCAGTACTACTGCTTCTTGAGTATGTTTAGTTTTGGTTTTCTTTTCAATTCACAGCATTTAAATATATCTTAGCACTGGAATTAAGAAGGAGAGAGCCACAGCACTGTTGGCTGTGAGGCTGATGAGACCTAAAAGATTTAATGATGAAAACTGTAAAAACCCATGGTTTTTGTCTTATCACTTTTGCTTCCTGATAAAAATAAAGAAAATGTTGCAACTACTCAGAAATGAARGACGACCATGCCTCCATAAAAGTTGTAATTGAATGACCTGTTTGCCAGGAATCATTAATTTACAGTTTTCCAGTCAGAACAGAAGAGTTTGATTTTTCTATCATGTCACATACAGGATGTAAACACAATAMAATCTTCCATGATAGTCAGCGCATGAATGATATACAAAACCCAAATATATCACTCCAATTTAGTGAGAGGCAAGAGCATTGAAAATATTGAACCTGGAGCACAGGATAATAAATAACAAATAATAATAACAATAATGTAATAATGATAAATAAAATAAAAAATAATAATAGTAGTAGAAAAAAGGCAATTATTAATTCAGCTCTAATACTGGAATTTTGTCATTCCACTGCTGAGACATCAGGGAAATAGCTGGAAAGAAAGCATTTTCTGTATCCTGGAGGACATTCTTTATTGTAAAGTGCTGTTACTTGTTGCAGTGTTGAGCAGTGCTGTCCCTTTGTTCAAAAACACTTWAGGTACTATTTACTGGCAGATCTTTAGGGAACTCTGTAGTAAGAATGAAAATACATTACATTACATTAAGAGAAGCTTTACAAAATAAGAGGTCGCTTGGACAAATCTGTAATTCAATAAGAAATCTATCTGCTTACGAGAGTACCCTATTTTACCACTTATCAGTCCCTAGAATTGTCTCCCAGATTTTGGAATCTTTTTCCTAAAGGAATAGATTTCTTTTTTCTCTTCCTAAGCTCTAAGAAATTTGAGTTTTGAAATACTTGTCTAGTGCACTACTTGAAAAAATTTGGTTTGCAACCTTCTCTGGAAACACAGAGGTGTCAGTCATAACCGTATCTTCCAGGAGTGCACCAAATTTGTGGCCCAGCCAATAAGAAGGCTCAAAAGTAACAATTTTGTTGTTCTAGTGATTAAGTAAACTGCATCAAATGAAACAGGCTTCTCGGATGGTTTGGAGTAATAAAAAGAACCCAATAAACCTCTAAAGSCAAGAACCAG